TGTGTGTGTGTGTGTGTGTGTGTGTGTGTGTGTGTGTGTGTGTGTCTGTGTCTGTGTCTGTGTAAATGCAGGCAGGTGTGTGCCATGGCATGGGTGTGGAGGTCAGGGACAACTTCAAGTGTCAGTCCTCACCTTCCATCTCACTTCAGACAAGGCCTTTGTTTTGTTTTATTTGGAGCTTTGAATACGAAATCAGTTGAGCCACAAGCCTCTTGGGATTCCCCTGTCTCCACCTCCCATCCCCTTGAAAGAGCGTTGGGATTACAGGCATTTGCTCTACATATCTGGCTCACTCGTGAGCTCTGAGAGTTGAACTCGGATCCTCACACTTGCATAGCAAGCACGTTGATCCATGGCGCCATCTTGCCAACTTGCCACTTTCATATCATTAAAGCACAAGGCTGCCAAGATGGCTCTGTGTGAACAGCCTTACTGCCTACGTCGTTTGACAGAGGGCTTTGCTGGCCTCCAAACCTGTGGGAATTCTAATGTCTCAACTCTCATCTTGCCATAGAAATGTTGGGGTTATAGACACAAGCTACTAAACACAGCCTTCCTTAAGATGTACCCTGAATTTTTTATGGTTTCTGGATGTTTTCAGTTAGAATCTTTGGTATCCCTTATGTATAATATTACATCGTCTGTAAACAGGGATAGTCTAACTTTTCCTCTCTGCATCCCCTTGAATTTTCTTCACTCGCCTTACTGTTTCAGCCAGTGCTTTGAGCACAACATGGAGCAGGAGTAGGGATAGTGAGCACCCCTGTCTTGTCCCTGACTTCAGTGGGACTGCTTCAAGCTTTTCTTCATTTAGGATGATGTAGGCTGTGGGTGTCTCTATACAGCGTTTATCATGTGGAGATATGCCTCCTGGAATTACATGTAGTTCCCCACATTTCTGGGACTTTGATTATTCAGGCATATTGGATTTTGTCAAAGACTTTCTCTGCATCTACTGTGATGACCCTGTGATTTTTGTCTTCAATTAAGTCTGCTTATGTGGTTTATTAAATTTATTGCCATGTGTATGTTGAAGCATCCGTGCATTTCAGGGATAAATCAAACATGGTAGTGGTGGGAAATCTTTTGGATGTGTCAGAACTCTGTCTGCAAGTATTTTACTAAGTATTTTTGAGTTTACATTCATCAGAGGTGTTGGTGTGGTGTTCTTCTTTTGTTGTTTCTTTAATTTTGGTATTAGAGTGATGATACCTTGATGGAAGGATTTTTAGGGTGCCCTTCTGTTTAGCAGCATAATACAGCAGCTGGCAAGCATGACACCAATGGGCATACTAACTGAAAAGGGGGAAACTCATGACATCTCAGCCCTACACAAAGAACTACAAGTAACTGAGGAATGCTGAGATCAGGAGAAATGGTCTTCCCCAGGGAAGAGCATACCAGTTGGTTATCCAATACCAAACGGTCATCCCTGAAAACATATCTATGTCTATGTATCTATCTATCTATCTATCATCTATCTATCTATCTACATGTGACATTCTATAGATTGAGCAGCATGTATTTATGTATTCGGGAATATTATGCTGCTATGTATATTGCCATATCTCTACACAACCTCTTTTCATTTATTGATATATATCAATTATATATATTAATTGTTAATTGATATATATCTAATATTTGGTATATATTGATATTGATATAACAATTAATGAAAAAGAGGTCATGAACTTGAGAGCAAGGAGGAGTATACAGAAGGGCTTGAAGGGAAGTAAAAGAAGACAGAAATGATGCACTTATAATCTCAAAAATATTTAAGTCAAACACTGATTACTTGGAAAGAATTCTTCCTGTAATATTGGCAGTGTGGGGCATTCTGTGAGAGCTGTATGACCTCTGCAGCATTTTATCCAAAGTTTTATCTAAAGAATATTTAAATTTCTATTGTCCCAAAAGAATTTTTTTTATTCTTAATCATAAAAAGTCATTGTAAAGGACACTGTTTCTCTTATGAAAATGAAGTCCACTCTGTTTTCAGCAAAGCCAGGAGATGACTTTGGGCATGTGTACCCTTTCTTCTCTCCATTTACAGTCCTTGCATGTGTTATCATTTAGAGTACACAAGCTAGAAAAGATGGTTTTCCTCTAACATATTCAAGAGGTGGAGCTTAGAAATTTCACCCACATAGTTTCTTGAAAGGCTAAAGCTGAAAACTCATTAAGTAAAATGGTTCCACACTAACAAAATTAATAATAGGGTGACTGCTTATTGCTGGATCAGGTGGGGAATTTTTGCCTCTCATTTACGGATATGTATTTAAAAAGTATTTCTCCTTTCCTTTTATAACCAATCCTCTCAATCAAAGTACATGTATTAAAGTATCCAGGAATTGCTTGATTCATCTATTCTATCACAAGTCACTCATGCAAAGTCCAGCTTAATGAAATCGTTCAAATTTTTATTGAGTATTCTTCACACATGGACATTTTGATCGACATATCCAAGTCAGACAACAAAACTCATTTTCAAAACCTAAAACAAGCACTCTGCTCAAAAGAAAGAAAGAGAGAGAGAGAGAAGAAAAGAAAAACAGAAATCTTTTAAGTCATTAGTTTGTTTCTTTTAGAGGACCTAACTTCTTGCACCGGACAGCCCTCTATCCATTCCAGATACCTCTGTTCTGGGAAGGATCGAAGATAGCATTTCATTCCCATCCCAAAGCTCTGTCTTAGTCACCACAATAGGTGAAAAGAACACTAGATTTCACACGGGAAAGTCTGTCCAAATCAAGATGGTGACATCTCTATGCCATATGCCTAGAGTAAATAGAAGTATTTCTAGCCTTAGTTCCTCATTACCAAAATAAAGATCATAGTGCATACCTTACAGTACTGTTTTCCAAACAAAATTCGATTTAAAAATATGTAGATTTAGTGTGTAAACTCTGAAGTACCATATAATCTATATAATATCATCGTCACCCATGTACAGAAATGGTTCACTGATTCAGTGAGGACTTATCAAGCAGTATCACAGAGCAAACATTTTTACAAGCAATAAAGATTCAAAAGCCCTTAGGGTAGGGCTTTGATTCGGGAGGGGAAAGGGGGTCACAAAAGGACAAAGTGAAATGAAGCATGTGCTGAGGTAGCAATGTGTCAAAGAGCTAGAGAGAGCGCCTCAGAATGTGTGCGCCGTGGAGCATGGGAAATGAAGAAGAGAAGGGTCCTGAGTGGACACCAGAAGGAGCTGCTTCATTTCGGGTCCAGCATCAAGAAAACACACCCACATCATTCTTCTGGGAGGTGTTGCGTGCACACCACAGTCCTGGGTCCAGGGCCAGCTCAGACGTGTCCCAAACCCTTCAGTCTTTCTAAACATCAGCACTACTGATGTTCAGTCTGCATAACGTGATGCTGGGCAGCTGCCCCATGAATCACAGAATGTTTGATAGCATCCCCGGCTCTTAATGCCAGTAGTGCCGCCCCCGCCCTCCCCCCAGCAGTGGCACTGACAAATGACCCCAACTGAGAACAATTTACTTGAAGTCACGAAAAACCAGTGCAAGTGCTTTCAGAGGGAATGGAATTCATTTAGTTAGTACCTAGACTTATATGGTGCTCAACAAAGACAAATGACTAACCAAGCCCCCGAGAGCCTTTTTGGCCTATGTTGACCTACTCGTTCTGAGCTTCATCCAAAAGAGATGCTGACTGTTTCTAACGCCCTCATGTGAGAGGCAACAATAATAAAAAAAAAAAAAAAAAGAGAGAGAGAGAGAGGTGTCTTTTTATACAGTGCTTTGCATAGGTTGTAGGATCTTGGGCAAGTCACTCGGATTCTCTACACCTCGGTTCTTTAGTGGAGATAATCAATTTTGTTTTGCAAGCTCACTGGAAGAATTAAACGAGAGAAAACATACAGCCATCGGGGTCTTGACAGTCATTCCTTTGGCGCAATTAATAATAGGAATCATGCCAATGACATGACTCAGTGGGCACAGGTGCTTGCCACTCAAGCCTCACAACATAAATTTGATCCCCAAAATCCATATAAAGGTAGAAGGAGAGAACCAGTGCCATAAAGTTGTACTAAGATTCCACATGTGGTATGTGTGGCCCCCGCCTCTCTCTCTCTCTCTCTCTCTTTCTCTCTCTCTCTCACACACACACACACACACACACACACACACACACACAAAGTTTTTTTTAAAGAAATCTTAACAGAAGGCTCTCCCAATTTCATCCACCAAAATGGAATGGTATAGTTTTCACTGCTTTTGTGATTGTGCAAATGTGTGGAATTTACTGTATCAGAAACTAACACACTGGCTATCTAATTTAGCCCTCCCAAGCAACCAGGCTACTTAAGAGATTAGAGATGTACAACTTGCCACGAACTATCCTGATTTTAAAAAGTGGTTCCTTGAACTTGCAAAACTCAGCTCTGTAGGTCCACTGGTCCTGCTGCCTCTGGCACACTGAGCCTTGGTTGGGTCTGAGGAAAATGTCTTTGATATTCTGTTTCCTTTAGTTTCTTGTACACATAGATTACAAGATCTGGAAATGTCTTCTGAAAGTAATAACAAGGGTCTCCAAGTCTCTCCTTCATTCTGAAACAAAACACAAATAGTTCTGCCTACTGGCCCCATGCTCTTCTTCCTTAGGGTATGTGCTGGCCGCTCCCTGGACTTGATTCTGTGGCAGGAATCATAAGGACTTTGGAATCTGACAAATAAGATGATTTCTGACTCTTTAATAGCCGTGCGACTCAATCATTCTGAACTTGTCTGTTCATTCACAAAAACGGTACTAACACAGGAGGACTTTTACAGGCCCTACCGAAAGATAGCCAGCTATTACAGGCTATCAGTGGGTGCTGAGAGGGAGACTCAGTCTTCTCCAGGAACAAGACCCCTCGGAGACATTCCAATCCCAAGTGATAAGCACTAACCAAATTCCCATATAAGCAACACGAAGCAGACTCTGCAGGTTGTACTTATAGATACATATGTATATATGCGGCAATAGTTAAAAATGAGGTCATGAACTTGAGAGGGAGTTGAGGAGAACACAGGAAGAGGGTCTCACTCTGCAGTTCTGGCCGGCCATGGAACTTGCTGTGTAGACCAGCCTGACCTCACAGAGATCCACCTGCCTCTGCTTCCTGAGTTGTGGAAATAAAGGCACGCGCCACCACCCCCAGCTTGCTTTTCTTTATCGAAGTAAGTTTTCTTCTTTCCATTCTGACAGACTCAGAATTAGATTTTCTAACTGTTCTCACTTCGCATACAACAAACAAGAATGAAAGCAATACTTACTGCTTATTTTTTTTCTCATTGATGTGTTCTCCTATATTCCGAATAAACTTCAGTAGGTCACCTACAGTATCCTGATAAGCATACTTATTCTTTTTATAGAAAGAATCCATTTCGGCCATAACATATTTGTCCATCTAAAAACAAAAAACAAAACAAAGTAAAACATTACCCCAAGATGTAATGACAACATAAAATAAATCCTGAGGGTGTATTAATATCAGAAGTCCAAATAGAAATTTGAATAAGTGCCCTCTACCAATGAACAAAACAAATAGGAACAGGTAAAGGTACATGGTAATACACCACATATGCTATGCAACACAGGTCAGTTGTGTTGTGTTTGAATGAGTTACTAATTCCCTTTCTGTCTGTACTTACCAAGCTCCCAGGAAACTGTGCCAATTAAAAACCTTTGTGGGAAGGTTAACTAGTTCTAGCTACTATGAAAATCAATATTGAGGTTTCTCAAAAACTAGAACTGCATCTAACACAAGAACAGCTACAGTTCTGCTGGGTATTTATCCAAAGGACTCTCGGTCAACATATCACAGGGATATTGCAGAACTGCCCACAGTAGCCAAGACAGAAGCCAACCTAGGCCTCCTTCAATAGCGAAATGGTTAAAGCAAATGTGGTTTATGTACACAATGGGATTTTTTTTTTTTCAACCATAAAGTAAGATAGAAAAAGCAACATAAACTGTTACGCACACGCTTCTTCCTGGACAGAAGGTAAGCGCTCATACCTTAGATCTCCACTGATCAAAGCTTCTGGAAGGTTCCAGTGTCTCAGGCTGCAGCAGTCTGAGAAGCTCACTTTGATCATTTCGTGTTTTGATGTCAGATTCATTTCCCACATTCCGAAGTGTTCTGTAGCGGCTGAGAGTGACAGAATCATTGTGGTCATTCCATTTTTTTTTTTCCAAAAAGAGAGAAATGATTATGTGCTTTGACTTTAAATGAAATTTCTGCACAATGGGAGAGGCCACCCTGTTGCCTCTCACCGGTTCTTCAGTAGTTAAAACCAGAATCCAGTAGGTTGTCACCCCCCCCCCCCGGACACACCACCAGCAATGCCAAAGTGAGAGAAAAGCCCAGGCCTGCTGATCCCCAGCCCTGCCAGCTGCCCACACCACTGCATAGGAAAGCCTGTAACACAGCAGTTTTTAACCTGCTGTGTTATTGACCCCTCCGGGGGAGTCAAACAACCCTTTCACAGGGGTCACAAATCAGGCATCCTGCATATCAGATACGTACATTATGATTCTTTTGGGGGAGGAGCTCCCCTTTTCTTTTTAATTTTTTAATTTTTATTTTTTATATTAATTACAGTTTATTGACTTTGTATCCCAGCTGTAGCCCCCTCCTTCATTCCCTCCCAATCGCATCCTCCCTCCCTCATCTCCTCCCATGACCCTCTCCAAGTCCACTGATAGGGGAGGTCCTTCTCCCCTTCTATCTGACCCTAGCCTATCAGGTCTCATCAGGACTGCCTTCACTGTCTTCCTCTGTGGCCTGGTAAGGCTGCTCCCCAAAGAGCCAGCCACTGAGTTCATGTCAGAAATAGTCCCTGTTCTCCTTACTAGAGAACCCACTTGGACACTGAGCTGCCATGAGCTACATCTGAGCAGGGGTTCTAGGTTATCTCCATGCATGGTCCTTGGTTGGAGTATCAGTCTCAGAAAAGACCCCTGTGCCCAGATTTTTTGGTTCTGATGCTCTCCTTGTGGAGCTCCAGTCCCCTCCAGGTCTTTCTATCTCCCCTTTCTTTCATAAGATTCCCTGAACTCTGCCCAAAGTTTGGCTGTGAGATTTAACAGTACCAAACTTACAGGTATGAAGTAGCAACAAAAAATGATTTTATGATTGGGGATCACAACATCACAAAGGGCTATATTTAAAGGTCGCAGGGTTAGGAAGGTTGAGAACCTCTGCTGTAACAGATACCCAAGTTCTACTTACTTCTCCCAAGTCCAAAAGAAAGGATGGCCAAGCAGGTCCCTCAAACAGTTCTTTACATTTGCTCCAGGAGAAAACAGGCATTGGATGAGGTCCCTTGTCTCCTCATCTGGAGATTCTTTAACCACCTCTTGATTATTTAACGCCTTTAGTGTCTCAAAGGGGATTTCACCTTTCTTTACCATATAGAGAACCAGCCGTCCAAGGTCCTGTACAGAAGCCATAAATGAAGTAAAATTGCAATGAGTTACCTTTCTATTTGGGTAACCTTGGAAGATTTGAGGTTAATATCACCACTGTCAACTTCACTGGACGGACAGATCCGCCTAGGAGATGAGTAAAGAGCATTTCTGGGTGTGCCGGTAACATTTGCAGAGAAGATTAAGATCATGAGGGCTCCGGCCAAATGGCCACTAGTGGATTCAAAATGTCAGTAGACTTATGTGGAAGTATCGGACATTACAAGGTGGGACCTGTTGGGAAGGAGTGGTTCAACAGAAGCTTGTCTTGGTGGCTGTTCCTTGCCCTGGTCCCTTCCAATTATGGCTCAGCTTTGCTTCCTGCCCATGATGAGCTGCTCTATCAAACCCTCACCTCCAGTCTGAGCTGAAACCTCCGGGACCATGACCTAAACAACCCTTCTTCATTTAGGTTCTTCTCAGAGTGACACCAAAGTAGTCAGTACAAACAGCATGGAAATGGAAGATGGAGGTATTTCGAGGAACTTGTGGGCTATATTTCTGTGGGCCGATGGTGTCATGGTTAACACCCTGACCTCTGAATCTGCAGGATTCTGGGAGAGAAAGACAAAGCTCTGAGCACAAAGAGTTCTTCAAGGCAAAGAATGGCCCACACAGCTTAGCCTCCTGAAAGATAACCCTGGTCCGGAGTTATAGGATAGTCTTGTTGGCAGCAGAAAGATTCTACCTGGGTCTTGAATGTTCTGACAGAATATTGATAAGTGAAGAGAAGAAAGATGCTTTAGACAAAGGAGACGACCTTGGGACAAGACGACCTAGGAACTTGATCCAGCACTGTGTGAGGAGGCAGATAATGGAGTCATTCCCAGTCAGGTGAGACACAGTGTTAGCCCAGGGAACAGGCTTTGGTAGGGAAAATAAGTAGGCCGTGATCAGCACAAGAGACAGGCACTCTACATACCAGGGGAGGAAGAACTGAAGTTAGGAGTCACCAAACCTGGAACCAAACAATTGCCCATTGGTTACTATCTAGGAGAGAACTGCCCAACCATGTCCGAACAAGCCTGGGAGCTTCAATACGCAGGGCCTGGCTCTGTGTCCTCTCAGGAGCACCAGCTGTTTTACAGCCTTAACACTTCAGCTGAGCTCTGTCTCCTTTGAGGTGAAGGCTGACTCCATTCCTCCCAGGAATTGTCCAGAGCCTCAGTATCTGCCTTTCTTTGGTGTTCTGCAGGTGAGTTTGAGTAGAGTTGGGAGCAAATCCCATTCGCTTTATCCTTAGGCAGAAAAATATTTGCAGAAGGAACTTTTGAGGTATTCAGAAATGCCTTCTCGACGTCTTTGAAGAAAAGGCATCCTTTCTTTAGTTACTTATTTAGCTAGTGGGAGAAGAAGGGAAATACTAAAGATTTTTTTAAAGGGGGGAGGGGAGGACCTCAGTAGAAGGCAACTCCACACCAGCCCAGCTGTTATAACTACTCCTCCGCCTAGTGAACGTTCTCCTGCAGGAAAGACACACGGAAACGCCACTGTATGCAACGGAGGGAGGACAGTGGACAGATAGAGGAAGCCTTGGGAAGTCTTTCCTTCCGGGTTCAAATAAGAAGTTCTCTAACCACAGGAAGTGAAGTAATGAACAAATAAGGAAGCATAGAAAAGAAAAGTTAGCTAGGCCACAAAAATTACCTCCAAGTCTCTCTCGAGCATCTGTGAATCTCCCTTCCACTGAACACTCTGATCAAAATCTGCCAGGCGAAGAGCTTCCTTGGAATCTAAGGAACAGTTTCAGAGGTGCATAAAAAAATATTCTCTATGGTGTGATAGTCAAATCATTTAAATATATTAACAACATGTTATACAATTTATCATCTCTGAAGATTAACAATAATTCTATTTCCTCATATCTAGCCTCTTTGGATCTGTCAAGAGCAGGACACACATTTTATTTTATTTTTTTTACAAGACAGACAGCAGGAAAAGATGAGGGTGAAGTTAACCAGCTCTCCATTGACAGAGCTCCCGGGGCACACCACAGGAAAGGGGCTGGTGGCCATAGTCAAGGTTACCTCCTATGGCTAACTAACAACTAACCAACGAGGTTCTGGGTCTAAGCATGTCTTGGCATTGATTTCCACCCAGTTAAGCCCGCGGGCCCCAAGCATGGGTCACAGATGTGCTGGTTCTCTGTCCCCTGCAGGCCCTTCCTTCATCTTGAAGAAGCCAATGAGTCCCCAGAAAGAGGAATGAAAAAAAATGACTTAAAAGTTGGGAATGAGATCTAAAGATGGGTAATTCAGGAATTTCGCCTACAAACGGTGACCCCTGGCTAGTCTCCATGACTTTCAGAAATAAATCTCCATTCATTACAAATCTCTGTGATGTTCTGTCATAGCCACACATAAAAGACTACCACAAGGCCTCTCACCTAGCAAGATGTTTTGTGGCCCCAAATCCTGATGGGAGAATCCATGCGAATGTAGTTTTTGAACAGCCTCAAATATAGACAATAGGACACTGCGGGCAAACTTATCTTCCCCGTTCTCCACGGGTTCCTCTCTGGGCTTACCCAGGAACTCTTCCAGTGAACACTCACACAGGGACACACACACATATAAGCAGCCCTTGTTGGTCTCCCTTCCGTAGAAAGTCACAAAGTTACTGGGGTCACGGCAGCCCTCCAGACAAGAGAGTTCCGTATGTGCTCGCGAGCTGCCCTCCCAGAAGACCTTCACGGCCACCTCTCGGTTGTCATAGATGCCTAGATAGACGCCGCCTTCAGAAGTGCAAGCAATTTTAAAGTCGTCGTCCAAAAAGATCTTGAGCTTGCCAATCATGGGGCGAGGCATACTGTGGAGTCTTTTCAAGGCTTCCCCCCAGCGTGAACTGTGAGGCGACCAGACTTCAGCAGGAGGGCTCGGGCGCTCACTAGCTCCATAGCGGAGAAGAAGCTGTACAAGGGAATGGTCGTAATTGCGCCTGGCTATCGCGACAAGATCCCCATGCTTCGTGTCGGCCCCCTTTTCACACAGCAGCTCGGCGATTTCCTTCAGTTTCTTTTCGACGGCGATTAGCAGAGCTGTGTTGCCCTTGCTGTCCCTGTCATCGACGTTTATGCCCTCCTGAGCCAGGAGCATCTTCACCAAGCCTGTGCGCTTCTCTTCCACGGCCGAGATCAGGGGCGTCTTCCCTCCCTCTCCTCTCGCGTTCACGTCAGCCCCGTGCAGAAGCAGAAGGTGAGTAATCTCCTCCACGTTTTCACCGTCGCGGTTGAGCAGAGTGCGGATCAAGGCGTTCCTGCCCATATTGTCCCGAGCGTCGGCCTCGGCCTCCATGTCTTCGAGAAGGATACGCAAGACTTCTGTGTGGCCGTTTTCGGCCGCACTCATGAGAGCTGTGGCCCCTCCTTGCTTGAGTCGCATCTTGTCCACCTTCGTCTCCCGTCTCAAATTCACATTGGCTCCCTTAGCAAAAAGGAACCTTAAGGCTTCGACTCTACCGTACTCGGCAGCTTCCATGAAAGCCGTGAAGCCATTCCAGTCACACTCGTTGACATCTGCACCTTCAGAGAGGAAAATCTCGAGCAGGCTCACGTCTCCACGGATCCCAGCAATGATGAAGGGAGTGGCCCCATTCTTCTTCCTCCGATGAGGGTCAGCACCGTGATCAAGCAGGAGCCGCACAATGTCGACCCTGCCAGACTGCACTGCGTTGTGCAGAGGGGTCCAGCCCCCAGCGTCCTCACGGACATTGACATCGGCCCCTTGTTCCAGCAATTGCTGGATCCTGGCAACGTCTCCCTGTTGAACAGCTTCAATCAACAAATGGCCGTCTTTGCCAGGGGTCCCCTGACCATCCGGGGGTGCGCTGTGTGTGTGATCCTCGGTCTCCATGACAGTCAGTGCCAGCGGCTAACCCTTTCAGCCTTTGTGCTCTGTCTTCTGACCTCTCACCTGGACACGAGTAAGGGGGTTGGGGGGAGTTGTCATTTCAGACAGGAAAAATTCTCCTGGCTCAGAACTCAGCTTTACCTGCACGTAGCCTTTTCTAAACACACCTGCTGGCTTAATTAAGCATTTCTAGATTGTAGACTGTTGTGAGTCTATGTCAATTTAAAGAGAAGACACCAGTACTCCACAGTCCCTCTCCCTCAAAGCAACTGCTATCAAGATTTAGTATTTGTGTACAGATTAATTAATTAATTAATTAATTATTAATTAATTGGCTGGGGTCAAGCCAAGTGACTCTGCACTTGCATGTGCTAACTTCAATTTTCTAATCTTGAATATTTTAGTATCTGTAACAATATTTTCAAAATTTAAAAAAAAATCTTAAAACAATTCTGAATGACGTTGAGGAAACTTAGCTCATTTTTTTATTTTTAACCTCTTTTTTTCTTTATTAATTACACTTTATTCACTTTGTATCCCCCCTGTGGTTCCCTCCCTCCTCCCATCCCAATCCCTCCCTTCCTCCACCCTCTGCATGCATGCCCCTCCCCAAGTCCACTGATAAGGGAGGTCTTCTTTTCCTTCCTTCTGATCCTAGTCAATTAGATCTCATCAGGAGTGGCTGCATTGTCTTTTAGCTCATTTTTTTATTTGGTTTTCCTGTTGCAGATTTCTTACAATAGAAGTCCTAAAATTTCACGACTAGTCCAGAAAACTAAGTACTTTTATCAATATTCTGTAAACGTACTTACCTAGTAATTGGCAGCTTCTGAGGCAGGGGAAGGGCAAGCAAGCTCCTTCAAGAGGAAAAGTGTATTTTATCCAAATGACTTTATCCCAGGTGAGGCTGGTCACCGCACACTCGCTGCTGTGTTCTCTATGTCTGTTCTCTTCATACTCCTGCGAGTCTTTATTGAGGTAGTCACAGGGAGGAAAATGTGAACTATTAACTCAACTTTGAGTTTCTGGGTGTGCAACTCTTGACTGTCACTTCCTCATTGTGTACTCCTAAACCTCTGACTCACAATTTTGTTTCCTCAACGGAGGACAAGACAGTGAGTTAGGCAGTGCGGCAAATATTGGGCATTGGATGAATGGCAGAACTAATTATGCCTCTGTGGGGAAAAAAAAAAAAAAAAAAAAAAAAAATATATATATATATATATATATATATATATATATATATATATATATGTATATATATTTGTAACGAATACTCTTCCCTGAATTCATGTGCCCTACAGCGAGTATCATTTAGCCCAGGGACGTCATTCAGCTTTAGGTTCAGATCCAGCTCAGTCATCAGGCACCCCTTGTTAACCAGATCATCTAAATAGCTGTATTTGCTACAAAACACACAAAGCCTCCTTCTTTGAGGTCTGTATATACAGCACAGTTTTGTTGTCCAACGTGTTTGTGTAACCTGCCCTAACTGCCCCTGGCTCTGTGTTGGGTGTCATGTATGGCGTGGAGGAGGAGAGAAAATCCGGGAACGCTGGGAGGAGCCTCCTAGTCTGGAACAAAACGCCGCAGCTTCCGAGCCTGCTTTCACTTTCGTTTTCTCCCTCCTGCTTCCAGACCTGCCTCAGAAGCAGAGCGCGTAAAGGAACGGTATGAACCGTGACAGAACCATAGGAGGAAGGGCTCAGGGCCACAGGGCTGCTGTCCCGGTCTGCTAATCCTCCAGATCCTTTCGTCCCCTCCCCCATCCCAGCAAGAAACAACCCTCAGCCACTGCCCGCTCTCCTGCAGTCCAGCGTACCTTCCAAACTCTCTCAACAATCATTCCTCTGGCGGCAGCAACAATCTCTCAAGACCAGCCCCTAGAAGAAACAGTCCTTGCGCTATCAGGGCGGAGCCAAGAAAGGAGCGAGAAAACGAAAGACCAGAAGGTGTGGGCCCCAGGGTCGGCCCAGGCACCACCTGAGCATCACGGAGGAACTCAAGGGCTCTAGCCTGACCACGGACAGACTTGACAGGCATCCCAGTGCTGGCCTTTTGGGTTGTAGGATCCAGCTTCACCCATCATTCTGTGCCTTCTCGGTAATCACAAATGCCCTGTGTTCTTGGAGAGAAACAGGGAAATAGGCACAGAGTCCATGATGCAGTCAGCGACTGCGACTGCGTGGCAGCAGAGTTGGTCGCCTGTGGGGAGGGTGATGCTTGGGGTCCAGCCGCTTACCCCACAAGCCGGAAGCTCTGTGCGGAGCTTGCTCCTTACCGGGAGCACGGAAATCCTAAGCAATCACACAGCTGGCAGAGGAGGAACAGTGGGCTTATGTACACAGAGGGTGTCTGGGCAGGCTGGTGGAGGTCAGGAGGCTTTGTGGTATCAGTTCTTTCCTTCCACCTGTACATGGTTCCAGAGCTCAAATTCGGGTTACCAGGCTTGTCTGGCAAGCACCTCTACCTGCTGAGTCTCTATCCGGCCCTATAAATAATTAAAAAAAAAAATGATAGCATATAATAAGATGTCCAGGTATGGCATAGTCCCTGACAGTCCCTATTCTCTACAGGCTCTGTAGCTGCTGTCTTCTTCTGTCTCAATGCAATCTCTCTTAGTATGTGCTATTGTGTTACCTGAACAGATGATAGTAACAAGGACAGTGCTGGTGGTGGTGGGCATGCGAAGGCCCTGAAACGGAAACTGGCCTGGTGTAATCAAGGAGCAGCTTACAGACCAGTGAGGCTTCGTGGAGTTACAAGCCACCTAGGGCCTGAGGGGCCCTTGTAAGGACTTCCGGATTCGTTCTGAACAAGATGGACTTGGGGCACCTCTGTCCTCAAGTAATAAACCACAACCAAACTTAAACTCGGGAAAGCTTATCAGTGTACTTTCCTAAGAGTTAGCAGAGTCTCAGCCCATCACTGCAGGCAAGCTTCGGCTAGTTTCTGGTGGTTGGCTGACAGGCCAAGCTATAAGGAGACATGCCTTCACTATGCTTCATTTCCATTTTCTGGCTAAAAGCAGCTTGGAGAGGGAGGCTTTATTTGGCCTGCAGGCTATATACTCCATCATCGAAGGAAGCCAAAGCAGAACTCGAGGCAGGAACCTGGAGGCAGGAACTGACGGAGAGACCCTGGTGGATGGTGCTCACTGGCTTGTTCCCCGTGGCCTGCTCAGTGTGTTTTCCTTGTACAACGCAGGACCACCTGCTCAGACTTGACACCACCACACTGATCATTAACTACGAAAATGCCCCACAGACATGCTAACAGGCCAAACTGATGGGGGCCTTTCCGCCTCTGACATTTCCTCTTCCGGGTGGCTCCCGCTTGTATCTAGTTGCCAGAAACTAACCAGCTGTCTGACCACGGTTATGGGCTGGAGTTCATCTGAAATTGTCCCGGTTTTGACGCAAACCATTTCTGACTCAGCTGAGCGTTGCTAAGAGGAGTGTCTGAAGTGGAGACTGTTAGAATTATGCAGGCAGTGTCAGCCGGGAGCAGGGTGGGGCATAGAGATAGCAGGTCGTGTTAGCTTGTCCCGAGCAGACAGTGTGACGAAGGCACTGGAGAATGCTGACTCCTCTCCCCACCCAGAGCAGCTTGTGCCGAGGCCCCACGAGCGGAAGCCCTGGAGCTCGTCTGTCATCGGTAAGAAGTTGCTACGACTAGGAAGAACTCAGCCCAGAAACCACTGAGCAGCTTAGAGGAAATCCGAGCCTTGGTTAATTGGTCCTGACGGTTTTGGACTGTGTCGGGTGATCTGGAGTGCAAAGAAATAAAGGTCCACGCGCAACTGGACGCTGTTTGGAAGCAAGAGAAGTTTCATGATGGCTGCTCTGACCCTTGTTTTCTAGGAACTAGAACAAAGAGGAGCTAGACTGACGTAGAAGCAGCAGTCACTCAGGTTGGCCAGCAGAGGGCAACGTTCAGCTACTTTTGTGGTGACAGGGACTCCGGCACTCTGGTGTTTGGCTCTAGCGAGCAGTTTCCTTGTTTTTGTCCTGTCCCCCCCACAGTGCACAGGGCATGACTTCTCTAATTGCTGCTGACAGTCTATGAGACTGTTTCTGTCTGGGGGAGGCGCTTCATACAGCCGCTTAGCGGAGAGTTGCCAGGGTTGTTTTGTTCACAGTGTGTGTTTTCACTCATATTTAGTGATAGGCCAAAGTTGACACTTTGGAGAATAAGTTCCACTTGCAAAAGAAGCCAGCTAAATTTCACTTCTTCGTTGTGGCACCTTTTTCCCGGAGAAAAGTTTTTTTAAACCACCTAGGCCAGACTCGGGAGTCCTTGCAGATCTAACCGACTTGTAAGAGGTGAGGCTGGCACACTGATTTCTTCTTATTTTTTTTTTTAATGATTTCCAAACCCCATTTCTAAATGTGATTTGAGGCCACTTATACTAGAAACCATGCGTATAATAAAACTCTAAACAATTAACACAGGAATAAGAGACTCTGTGAATAACAGAGGAAAGCAAGCATCGGGTTCCAGCAGAAAACTCAACGCTGGATCAAGGCCAGGGCGGGGAATGAAAGTCAGCCCTGTGAGGAAAACTTTTCAGCTGTCCTATCCCATGAACACGAAAGAAATGGCATTTGGCACCAGTTGCCTCTTTGAGAAGGGAGGATAACCAATAAGCATGGAGGAGGCTCGGCGGGCCGTCAAGCCTAAGACACGAACCATGACCTACTTCCCCTGGACCATCATAACTAAGAGACACGAGGAGGAGATGGCCTGAGAGGAAGACATACTCGCAGCACCTTGTGGCAGGAGAATCGATCAATTCACAGCCCTTGCATGGGGTTTAAGCTTTAAAAAAGGAATAATTTACCAAGAGTAGAGAAGAGGCCTAGCAGCAAGTGGGAAGCCTGGACTGGAGACACAGAGAGAAAACCCAAGGCCAATGCAAATGGAGTGACATAGCCCCCTTCCTCCTGACCCACTTCCCACACTCAAGATGTGAAAACCATGGTATCCTCAGTCGTTTAACCAAAATGAACATCGGACTGCAGCACTTGACTTTGAGCTCACTACCGGACATGCACTTAGCTTACCAAGAACCTGGGATCGGGGTAGGAGGCAATGGGGTAAAGTGGAATCAATAGAATGCTGGCATTCTCCCTATCAGGAATGTGCAAACACTCTGGACAGGCTTACTATGCAGCAACAGCTAACTGGTGCAGCTGTCTTCTACCTCTTCACAGTTGAGTGGTTTGTTTACATTTTCTGCCATCGGGAAGATAGAAAGACCTGGAGAGGACAGGAGATCCACAAGGAGAGCAACAGAACCAAAAAAATCTGAGCACAGGGTCTTTTCTGAGACTGATTCTCCAACCAAGGACCATGCATGGACATAACCTAGAACCCCTGCTCAGATGTAGCCCACGGCAACTCAGTATCCCAGAGGGTTCCCTAGTAAGGGGAACAGGAACTATCTCTGACATGAACTCAGTGGCTGGCTCTTTGATCACCTCCCCCTGAGGGGGGAGCAGATTTACCAGGCCACAGAGGAAGACAATGCAGCCAGTCCTGATGAAATCTGATAAGCTAGGGTTAGATGGAAGGGGAGGAGGATCTCCCCTCTCAGTGGACTTAGAGAGGGGACATGGGAAATGAGGGAAGGAGGGTGGGACTGGGAGGGAATGAGGGAGGGGGCTACAGCTGGGATACAAAGTGAATATAATTAATTAATATTAAAAATAATAATTTAATAAAAATTTTCTGCCATCTATATTAGTGGTATAGGATTCTTACAAGAATTACAGGAATTTACATATGTAAAATGTTTAAAGCGGTGTCTGCCACATACAAATATTTGCTATTTCTTGAGCATGCTACCAAGCCATCTCATACACACTTTTCACAAATTTTCCATCATCCCAAAAGCTCGTTGGAGACAATACTATGTATAGTCAACATTTTATAATACAAAGCGAGTGTCTGAGAAATTAAGTAGTATACCGATGAGTGAGCCGCATATTTTCAAATCGACAGTCTAGCTTTCCTCTAAGTCTAAGTCAGTGTCCGAGCTAGTGATTGTACAGTTACTCTGAGATGCCACCTTGATTGGATCTGATATTAGCAAAGAGAAAAACCTCTGGGTGGGTCTCTGAGAGTGTTTCCTGGGAGGGTTGACTGAAGAGTGAAGCTCCTCCCCTCCCCTGGAGTAGGCTCCATCTTCTAGCTGAGGATTCTGATCGGGGAGAGAGCTTCAGGCTCTGCCTGCTGGCCTTTCTCCTGCAGGTGCATGCAGCTCCTCTGTGGCACAGCACCGAAGCCCCTAGCATCTCTCACCCTTTGGACTGACTGTTCCTCAGATATTTAACTTGAGGCTTCCCTTTCTTCTCCTGGACCAATTTCAGGCATTCCACCTTCATCGGATTACCTAGATTCAGGACCTCATAGTCCCTGTACTCCTGAGCAATCTCTTTACCTAAGACCTTCCAGATTGGAAGTTAATTTTTAGCCCTAAAGAACTAAGGGAAATCTTGGCTTAACTCCTCTACACCACTAACAGTGTTAGCAACTATGTTACCTATTCCAATTTCATCAAATCTTTTTGTGTGTTCACCAAATGAATTAATAAACCAAACAAATTCTAGCCATTATTTAGAATTGCATGGGAAAAAAAAAAAAAAAAGCTTTATAAAACAATGGAAGTTTGGGCTGGAGAAGTAGCTCATCGGTTAAGAACACATCTGCTCTTCTAGGGAATCCAAGTCTGGTTCCCAGCACCCACAGTGAATGCCTCACAGGCACCTGTAATCCCAGCTCCAGGCACCTATATTCATGGACACATACCCCACACACACACACATATGTGACATAGCACCGAAGCCGCTTGCATCTCTCTCTCTCTCACGCACACACACACATATATGCATATATATCTATGACCCATATATATATATGTATGCATTATATGTACATGTATACATACAGTGTACATGTATACATTCTGTATTAGTCAGACTAACTTAAGAAAGAGCTTGCACTATCATGGCCACAGGGGGGCAGCAGAGGGTACAGGAGGAGCTGGCCTCTGCCATGGAAGCACCATTCTGGCCTCGGTTTGAGGGGCTGTTGTGTTCTCTGTGACAGACCAGTTAAATTAATGCCTCCCGCCTTACCTTTCTTCATCTGGGATTCTGGAACGCTCCAACAGCATATAAAATATATAGAAAACCGGGGACAAGGGCATGCTTAAATCAGGGGTCTGTAGTCTGGCAAAGGGAGGGGATGACCCTTGGCATTTCGGAATCGCCATGTTTTCATTTGTGCAAACATCTACAGCAGTAGACAATGGAGACACGGGGCCTCCTGGCTGGCAGGTAGCCCCTGTAAATTGCCCTCTGACCTCCACGTGCATGACATGGCATGGCATGCATACACACAGAGTGAACACATTCACACACACACACCTAAATGTTTCTTTGTACCTGGGCACTTCCGTCTTCCTTCCACGCTTGGTCATGGTCCTCTCTAGCCACCTCACACAGGTCAATGTCCCCACAGTAACAGGTAAGTAGAACACCACATAAAAAAATTGTTTTTCCTTCCTTTGAATCAGCATCTCACTATGTAATCTACGTCAAGTCTCTCCTAAGAGCTGGGACTGCAGGCATTCACTTCTGTGTGCCTGGCCAAGACCATCTTTTTGGGTAATGAAACGAAGAGTGGGATTTCAGGCACAAGGTACCCAGAAGGCAATGCGCAGAGGGCATTCTGCTCCTTGCAGATTGTGCACCCGAAAAGCCTTTCAAACCCAGCTCAACCCTTGAATGCTTCACCCACCCAACCCTGCACCTCTGCCCTACAGTCTCCCCAGAGGTCTGTGAAGTAACAGGCTCTCCATACTTCCCGCTTCTCAGCCACACAGTCCTTGGAAACAGGATGTTATATCTGAGTTTTATTTTCATTTGTTTTTTTACAAGAATATAACATGCTCAAACAGAAAACAAACAAACAAACAAACAAACAAAAAAAAAAAAAAAAAACAGGGATTACAGACACTGCTGATCAAGGAACCCAGCTCCCTTTTTTAACAATAAATAAATATTAAAACGGCGGGGTGTTCCCCGGCAGCCCTCAGTGGCTTGCAGAGGTAGAGTCTGGCGGGGAAGAGGCTCAGTCAGGCAGCAGCTCCCACTGAGCTTCTCCAAGACAAGCAAACAAATCTCAATAAATAACAGGGGGACGAAGGCAGCTGTGTCTGTCAGCAAAACACAATGTAACAATGTACTATACTTAAAAAAGAGTTTTTTCCTGGAGAAGCCTCAAGTGCAGAGAGAACCGTGTTGGCGACCCGGGGCTCCACTGCCTTCTCGGTCTCTGGTGCTGGAAGTCCGGACTGGGAATGTTTGTTCAGTAACACCCAGAGGTGATGGGCCCTACCCTTCCAAGCTCCCCACCCCAACCCCTGGCTGCACGGCCATTGTCTGCTCCAGAGCTTTCTTGGTCCCTAGCCTATCTCTCCCCTAACTCCAGTGGGCTTCTCTTGTCTACAGGAAAGGAACACAAGGCTCCCCTTCCACAGGGGTGGGGGTGGAGGGCATCTCTTGTTCCCATTCTCATATGCACAAAAAAGAACTGATTTGATTTCAGCTGGGCTTTCGGGTTCCTCCTACAGATGGATTTTCTTTGACCTTCTCTGCCTTGCTCAGTTGCTGGACATGAGTACTAGCTCCGGTGCCCAAAGCGTCCTTCCTCCCACAAGCCTCCTCTTAGACTCTATCTTCCAAGGCATCACTGAGCCCAGGGAGGCTCCTCAGTCAGCCCTGTTCACAGGTAGACTCTGCTGCAAATGTAAGGTCAGGGGGCCACCCACAGAAGGCCGCCAAGAGCACCCAGCCTAGGGTCACATGAGCAAAATGGCTTTTCAGGGCTCATCACTGACCTGGAAAGGGGCTCACAGGCCAGTTTTTTGAGGTATAGAAATGTCACTTGGGGCAAGAATCATACTGACTCATAAACACCCCCTGTTGAGACTGCAGGAATGTTAAGAAGCCTAAGCTAAGGGATGTTGGATGTCTTGGGAAGGCGAAGGAAGGAGAGGAAGGCTCCGCAAACACGGCTTTCTCTAGGCCCAGTCCAGGAACGAGGAAATCAAGACTGGACCAGACCCAACTGTCTTGCTGCTTTGGTTCTCTCCGGCTCCTGCTCTCAAGGTCCCCAGCCACCCCCGCATTCCTTTGTGTGTACCTCAATGAGGGGAACATCCCTGCTGTGCCACCATTCCTCCCTTCCCCACACACCCCACACAGCCTCATTGTCAGCCCTCAGCCCCAGGTCCTGGCAGGAAGTGAGGAGCCCCTCCCACACTGAGCCCACCACGGTTATCTGGAGGAGAGGGAGTTCTTCACACCCAGGCTGCAGGGACCATCGTCCCTTCACTGTCCTCTCGCACTTGCTGGGCAGGACCCGCCTTCCAGGCTCCAGGCGGGGCAGCTGCTTCAGGGATGGGACTCCACCTCTCTTCCCACTGGCTTCTCTCTTGCTGTGAGGGCTCAAGTGTGTGAAGGCTCAGCAGCGGGGCTGCTGCTGGATGCAGGGGAGGAGGTGGCGGAGGCTTGGGCAGCCAGGTCCCGGTAAGCAGGGGACTTGAGGAAGCGCGGATAGGAGTCCTTCTCCATCAAGGTGCGGGTCTTCCCCTGAGCCACATCGAAGCAACTGGCAGTGGCTGCCTGTAGGTTTGTCTTGGTCAGCTCCCGGGTCTCGTGATCTATGTTCACCTGTGGGGAGCAGGGCAAGCACAAAGGTGAGTGTGTGGAAAGGCAGGGCTGAAGAAGGTGTTGGACACCCGCCCCCGCCCCAGAACTGGAGTTAAAGGAGGTTGTGAGCTGCCATGCTGGTGATACAATATAGGAATTTTGGAAGTGGGGTGGACATATACCCTCTATAATAGCAGCGGGCGCTCTTAACCACTGAGCCATCTCTCCAGCCCCGCTAGCCAGCCTTTCTGCTCTGGGACATTCCCCATAGTCCCTGGGCTTGGTCCTCTGATCTTTACGGATCAACCTGAGGCTGACTCTGCGAAGCCAGAAGCACCGTGCTCCTCCGCTCTCATAACCCCCGATTCGAGTCACCACCTCTGTGCTGGATCTGAGCAATATTCCTAACTGGCTCTCTCCTCCCCTCACTCCAGCTGTGCTCACAGCTGCACCCACAGCCGCTACACTGAGCTGCCTCCGCCTGGAAGCACCTTAGTTTCCTCCCCATGTCATTCAAAAGAAAAGCTAGAGTGACCACATCTGGCCATCAGCCATATGCATGACCTCACCTCCTACTGTCTCCCTGGTCCCTGTGGCAGGATGTCCTTCCCTCTCTCGGTCCTTACAACCCTCTGCTTTGTTTCACCCGCTTCCTGACTCCCACTGTGTGCTTTGTTCGTATCCCACCTCATACTAAACTGGTTACTGACATCTTCTCCTATTAGACTATAGTTCCATTAGAATTTTGTTTTGTTCATTGACATATCCTTTGAGTTAGTAAAAACCTCCTTGCAAGTAAGCGATAATAAATGTTTCTAGAACAGTGTGAAATAAATAGGAGCAGCCAGAAAACAAGATACGAAAGCATGGCATTATTAAGGTGTGTCCACCAGGTGGCGCCATTGTTACTGTGATGGCACCTCCAAAAGGGAACGCTGAATTTGGGGGGGGGGGGAGATCCTCAAAAGGTGAAGGCAGCTTAACCAGAGGCCTGAGCCAGGTTACCCAAAGTCCCTTCCTCCAGCTGATGTGCCAGGGTTCTAAAAAAAAAATAACTAATTTACAAATGCAGGTATGGAGAGAAGGCAAAAAGCCTGCTGCCCCGTACTGGGCCACCATGAGTCACAGACTTTAGTGTGGCTACTGATGCCATATCCTTCTGTAACCAAAAAGACTGCTGTGCTGCAAAACCTGAGCCTTCCCTCGCTGGCCCCCCGTGGCCCGTGTTCTCAGCTGGGAAGAGGCAGGCAGGGTCACTGACCTCTTTAGGGGCTTCACTTCGGATGTATTCATCAAAGATGCGGTGAGCCTGGGAGGCCAGTTTGGCGGCTGATCTTATCTTCTTGAACTCCTCGCAGGCCAGCCAGAACTCCAGGTTCTCCTCGCTGAACTCCGTCTTCAGGAAGGCGTGGAAGGCCGCCACCCCATCTGGTTGTGGGAAGGGGAGGAAGGAGACAGGTCAGACTAGGGGACAGCTGGGAATAAAGGAAGAAAAGACAGCCATTGCCATTAATGGCTCTATTTTTAGAATGTCATTTTCCCAGACAAGGCTCTGCCTTTGTGTTTCGAACAGAGGCTGGCACACTGGGGGACCGGGATCGTTATTACTACTACTATTATCTCCCCCCCCCCCCCCCCCGTGCTTTTCAGCATCCCTGGGACAAGCTCCAGGCACATGAGCACGCACGTGCCTTTCACAGACAGACAACAGGGTCCTACTTACTTTTACTGCTCAGCAACAGATCAAAAGACTCTCTCCATCCCAGCACATCTTCTGAAAAGCTTCTGTCAAGAAAGGAGGCGGGGGAGAGCAGAGATTTTTTTTTTTAATTACTTTTTTTTTTTTTTAAATCAACCAACAAAAGCATAGCACACATCCTAGGCAGACGTTGATATTATCAAAACTAAGCACTCAGACACATACAGAGTAAGCAGTGACTGTCTATAAGGAGCAGCTGGGCACCCAGCGGCCGATGCCAGGGACCCGTTAGTCCCCAGCCTGGCTCTCCAAAGCCCCCTCTTTTGGAACCGAAATCGACTTTATTCCGCGGATTCTCGTGTTTGTTTTGCACACCTCTCCAAGGGAGCAGGGGCTAGCAGAGAACCTGTTATGGCTGGCATTCAATAAAAGGGGGCTTCTAGGCTGCTCACTGAAAGGAAGCGGACCCTGTCCTGGCCCCGAATTCAAGCGCAATGACACCTCCACGTGAAAGCCTGCAGCCATCTGCTGGGGTCTGCAAAACCTGCATTCTACCACCTCCTCCGCGGAGCCCGGCAGCCACAGCATGGCAGCAAGGAGTCTCGCTAAAATCTCCAGAGACGGTCGGTGGCTTAGAGCCACCCCGCTTCTCTCCTCCTGTTTCACCTCTCAGCCTCCCCCCCCCCCCCCCCGCGAGAGCCCCTGGGCTGGAGAGACAACCCGACTCACCTCTCTTTGCAATGTTTACTGGCCCACTCGAACTTGCCAAGGCTCCCAGACTCGGAGCTCAGCTCTGACTTATGAAGAAAGATCCCCAGACGTGTCTTGAACTCTTTGGCTCTGAAAGACAAGCCAGGAGCGTGTAAGGATTCTGTTTGCTCTGCCAGCACAGGGGAGTCTGTGGAAGCCCCCCCCCCCAAGAACTAACTCCACCCTCCAAAGTTCAGCCCCGAGAAACCTGGGGACACTCAACCATCCCCAAGGCCCCCTGAGTGCTTTTCTCATTCGTGTCTTCAAGTCCCAGGCCACAGCAAGCAGCGTTTGGGCTGTGCGCTGAGAGGTCTTAACACTCTGGGGTCCCGCCCCGCTGTCCTGTCTCCCCGAGTTCCCAAGCCTGGGGTTGGGTGGATTCGGAACCGCTGACCAAACTGTCTTACCTCTCCAGGCAGGTGTTGGGGAAGGTGGCGAGGGTGCGGCACATGCTTGCGGGCGCGGGGCAGCACGTCGTGGGGAGGATGGTGGAGCGCTCCGCGGGACCCTGGAGGGCGACCAGGGAAAAGCGAGGACCTTCCACTTACCGGCCGGCGCAGATGGGGTTGGAAGAGCTACACGCGCCCGGCCCGTGGCTGCTGCAGCTTTTATCTCCGAGGGGGCGGGGCGGGGCCGAGCGTCCCCGGCCAATGACAGAGTGGGGCTGAGCGTTGCGAGGGAGGAGGTGGGACGCGGAGGGGCGGGGCGCCACTGGCAGCCCCCAGGGCCTCCCCCCCCAGCGCAGGGGGCTGTCCCCACCCCTGAGGTCGGAGACTTGGGGTGCCAGGAGAGGAGAAAGGCTTGAAGACGAGACGTACGCCCACAGCTTGCCAGGAAAAAAAAAAAAAAAAGAAAGAAAGAAAGAAAGAAAGAAAGAAAGAAAGAAAGAAAGAAAGAAAGAAAGAAAGAAAGAAAGAAAGAAAGAAAGAAAGAAAGAAAGAAAGAAAGAAAGAAAGAAAGAAAGAAAGAAAGAAAGAAAAAGAAAAGAAACAAAACCGCAGACCTCCTGTAAAAAAGGAGGGAAGCAATTCAGAAGTGTCAGGAGGGGTTTTGTGGGGGTGCCGGGTCCACGGAGGACAGCAGCGCACGGTGCATTCCAAGAAAAAGTGCATCACCATTATTCTGAGCTCCCACAGGTCAGAACAGGTACCTCCATGGGTTCAGAGGGTGAGGAGAGCCGACTAAGCTATCCACCCCCCACCCCTCGTCATTACCTCCTCTTCCAGATGAAGGATCAGAGGCTTAGAAAACCAGAGACTTGGCCAAGGTCAGCAGGCGTGTGAGGAAACATTCATTTAGCACAATTATAGCAGAAACTTTTGCAACGAAGCCAAGAAGGTTTAATTGCTCTAGGTTCTGTAGTTAGAGGGTAAATCTTGGTGCCTGGAATCAGATTTGAATTCACCGTGTTTTCCCTACTGGAAAGCAAAAAGCAAACAGTGACAGCTCCGCGGCTGGTGAGTGATCCCGAGGCTTAAGCAACTGAGAGTACAGCGCCCCTCTCTCCGAGCTAAGGGCAGTAAGCGACGCTCTTCGCCCTCCTTTTAGTCTTCCCCATCGGCTCCCAGTTTCCTTAAACTGCGTGTCTAGGGGTTTAGCCAGCGCTACACTTATTTCATAAGGTGTTGTGGGGACCAAAGAGGTTTTCTGTTAGCCGGACTTCCCCAGGAAACGTTCTGTGGGGATAGCACGCATGCTAGGGAAAGTTCTCAGAACTGAACCCAGAGGGAAGAAAAGTGGGTGGGGCTGAGAGGAGCCCTGTGTCACCCACCATCTCAGGAGGGAGCCCCAAACGTCTTCAAGGGTGCTGGACCGTTACAAACTTCTGCTTCCGAAGCCAAGGAGCAGGCCCTAACATTAACCATTTACTGGATGCTGCTGTGCTGAGGTGGCCTGACCTGTCTCCAGGTGGCTCCTCTGCCAAGAGCAACTCCAGAGAGCTTAAACAGACACCGTGACATCGAAGGCGGCCACAGTCTGGAAAAGTGGATCTGGGTGGCACGCCAAAGTAGCTGTATCAGGTGTTTCGAGCAAGACTTAGCAAGCAATCTGAGAAAAGCACTCTGCAGTGCTTTTCGGTTTTACTTAACAGGTAGTCTGGAATTCTAGACGCTAAGGAAAAATGTCTTGTGTCTTTTAGAATGCAGATTTCCATCTCAAAGGGGGCATCTCACAAGCAAGGCCTGCTCTGTGCTCTGTGAAGTAAAAGGTCAGGACTGGAGGGGAAAGAAAGGAAAGAGGGAGGGAAGGAGGAAGGGAGGGAGGGACGGAGGGACAGAGGGACAGAAAAGAGTAAGGGAGAGAAGGAGGGAAGAACAGAGGGAGGAAGAGAGGGAAGGAGAGAGAGAGGGGAGAATAGAGGGAGGGAGGAAAGGAAAGAGAAAGGGAGGGAGGAAAAGAGAGAGGGAAGGAGGAAAGTAGGGAAGAATAGAGGGAGGGAGGGAGAGAGGGAAGGAAGGAGACAGGGAGGGAGGAAAAGAGAGAGGGAAGGAGGGAGAGAAGCACAGAGGGAGGGAGGAAAAGAGATAGGGAAGGAGGGAGGGAGGGAAGCACACAGGGAGGGAGGGAAAGAGAAAGGGAAGGAGAGAGGGAGGGAAGAATAGAGGGAATAGGCTGAAGCTGCATCTCAGTGGTGAAGCACCCACCTAGCTTGCTCCAGGCTTGGGTTTCATCCCCAGCAGAAGGATAAGGAAGAAAACCGACAAGAAAAGAGAAAGACACAAAGAAGTCCTAACCTGAGAGAGTTCAACTATAAGGCTATAAAAGGTGGAAGGGGGAGCGAGAGGGACAGCAGGAGGAGGGTCTATGAGCTAGTAGTTGTTGAGGGGGTTTAGACAATAAAGTTCAAAATCATAACACAACGTGGGACAAGTGCTCAAGTAGACTCCCCTCCCTGAGCCCTACGAAGGTCCGACCTAGTTAGTCAAGATAGCACACTCTAAAGCACCATGGGAAACCTTTCCCGAACTCCCACGTTGTCAGTGGAGAACCAAGGTAGATAGGACAGGACCTGCTTCCTGCCACACTTCTGTCTCAGATGCGGTGAGCGCCAAATCCACACGCTGTCTTGCCAACCTCAACTCTTGAGGGCTTCCTACCTCACAGCCCTGGGGCTGGACCGGTGCTGGGCAGTGGTGCATAGGCAATCGGTGGGTGGGCAGCCTGAGGTGCTCCGCTGAGCTGAGGGGTTTTGTTTCACCTGGCATGCCCACAGACACACTTTTACCACACAGCTGCCAGGCACCGATGCCGGTGTTGTCTATGGCAGAGCCATTCTCCATGTGACATGGATGGATCAAATTCTAGTCTCACCTGCATTCATGCCCACATTGGAATCAGCCCAGACATAGCCACGTGACAATAATACTGATTTCTGCAGAGGACCCTCTAAACCCTATTCATTCTGCATCCCTGTGAATAGGCCACCGGAGGCGTTTTAATTTCCATTTCGGAGGCAACAAGATAGCAGTGCCTGAGGTGTTCTTCATTAACCACATCCAGGCTGAAGCGGGGTCTGTCTCCAGGTTCCTGAGCTAGCGTGTGTGTTCTGTTTGACAAAGCAAGCGGAGACAAAGGGATTGATACGTAACGCACAGACAGGCAGATCTGAGAGCACACAGCTCCCTGCTGAAGATGAAGAGCCCTCCTCGGAGTTCAACCTGCCTCCCGGTTGCCATGGTTACCTCCCAGGTTTCCAGACAGAAACTTTTGGAAGTTCACAATGTATCCCCAGCTTTTCTTCCCAGCAGGTCAGTTCCTATCTGCGATTCCAGAAATGTGACTGACTCCACGGGTGCTGTGAATCTAGCCGGTTGAATTCACTTGTGAATTGCACTGACTTTGACAAAACCTGACCTCATTTTTGCCCAGCACGTCCAGCACAGCTGCCATCTCTTTAATGGAGGGTATGGGGACAACGGCTTTGTGGCCTGGGTCATCTGGGATCAGCAATCTGGGCAAAGCTGGGGTCAGGATTAAATATCCCACAGTGTCCCAGACTTACTGTCCTTTATCTCCATCAGAGGTATACCACACTACTCTTCTGTGGTGGCAGAAATCCAGACAGGAGCTTTGTCTGTTATAAATGGTGTGTTGGTGAATGACTGAAATCCATTAAAACAACAGACACACACACACACACACACACACACACACACACAGGAAAAAAGTCTTTATAACCAAACACTGGGGTCTGATCTCTAAGCTAACCCCAGAGCCCACATTTCTGAGCGTGTGTCAGGTCAGCTTGCCATGTGGAGTTTTCTCCAGCTCAGACTTGGTGCGAAAACAGAAGTTCATCCCTGGAGGAAATAGCAGGATGCTGCACTCATCCTTCATCACATGACTCTGTCTCCTGTAGCCTCTGTCCTCCCCACCCCCACCCCCTTATTTGCTCGCTCCATTCCTTTCTTCCCACTCACATTTTCCACTTTTCTCAGTTCTTGCCCTTAGCTATGTTTTCGTCACTGGCTCTGGACTTTTCTGCTTCTTTACTTCCTAGTCCCTTGTGTCTACAGTTCCTGAGTATGGCTGTGGAAAGGCCCTTCCTCTGCTAAAATCCCCCAGTTAATCTCTGAACCCCACAGTCCCCTGCAACCCTTCCCAGCCCATGCTTCTCCATCCCCTTTCACTCCTAGAGAGACCCTGGTTCTTACTTGGGAGGGAATCCAGGGCTAATTCCCGCAGTCGGACCTTTAGCTCCCAAAGTCTTAAGGATAGGGATACACTGAGTCCTGAAGGTCCCTAATCCTCCCTGTTCTCCAGGGCCCTGGCAACTGCTAGACCGAGCCTGGCTTCCATATTTATGCTTACTAGGTTCTGGCATGTTGATTTGGATCCTCATAAACACCAAGGATGGTGTTTATAGTTGGGCACACGTGCGCTTGACTGCCAGGCTATGCTGTCTTCTTACCACCGCCGGGGACATCTCCGGCCTCCAGCCTCCTGGATTCCCCCTGACTGACAACGACCAGCTTTTCTGACCTCTACCTACCTTTGCTCACCCCATGGTACCTCAGTTTCCTGATCTCTCCTCCACCCTTGCCCACCCCACAGTGCCTCAGCCCACACCTGCAAACACGCCTGCCCTCCACGCCACCATCATAGTGACAAATTCCCTGGGAGACCGAGTCAATCGGTGACACCCAAGACCCCATTTAATCTTAACATTGCCATTTCCAAGCTGGGAGAATTACCTAAGTGGTTCTAAATGTCTTCCTCTTCCTCACTGTGGCTCCTCACCTTCCTCACAGATGCCTCTTTCCTGAGAGTGCCTCTCCTCCACCCACTCCTGCTCAGAAACAAATTATAGTGAGATCTAGACTTTCCTGAGTTAGGCATTTTCCAAGGCCCTGAGAATTCTTTTAGAGTAAAAGACTCCAGAAGAGGGAAAAACGGAGGCCTGCCATTTACAAGTGACCGAGGAGCAGGGGTCAGCGCTTCGTTTCCTCTCGAAGACCGGGCACAGAGCTGCACGGGCCTGGGTAAGCTTGTGCCCTGTCCTCAGGCAGGAAACACCACCCTGGGGCT